GAGTTAAGCTGATGGTCATTGTCAGTGAATGTTGGTTGCCCATTTGTTAAAAGATCAAGTAATTTCGCTCAGGGAAATATAAATGCACGTCTATTCTGCGATGTAAACGAACTAAACTAATAGTTTTCGTTGTCGTAGTGACATTCGAGTCGTCGCAGTGATATAAGATCAATTGTTAATAGTGTTAATATCTCCTATTTTTATTGCGTAAGATGCTGTACTATTTTGTGTGTTATTTTAATATAGTGCCGCATAATATGCTAATTGGCTTAATATTGAGATGTTTACCTTCTCAGTACTGGTTGTATGCCAGATATGAGGTAAAATTTGCGTCATCCCTACACAGGACTTGATGGTAACTTATTTTCCATACTATGTAACAATATGTTCACAAACCTTGAACTACAACTGGGCTCAATAAAGCTTCTTTCATTGGAAATAAATTCCGCTTTCCTGGCAGTGATACACATCGTTCACCGTTCTTTGTTTATTGTACATCCAGTATTTGAAGTATCGGATATCGCGTTGTCTCGCTGTTGAGAGGCACTGTGTTTATTTGACGTAAACGAAACTCGTGGTATTTCGTGCGCTATTTTTGTTTGTTTTGTGCTCAGCTATAACCCTACAGTCAGACGTACAGTCTGTTGTGAAATTTGAGGGTTATTGGTGTACTCTCAGGTTTGATTGTTCGATACCGACACAGTCAACTTACAGAAAGAGAGAATTTAACAGATTGTAAATAGGATTGCGACAGTGAAAGCAAAGTAGCGATTTCATAAAGTATAGAATTTATCACAGCCTTTGAGGCCGCCAAGTAGCCGCGAACTTTTCGAAGTTTGGGAAATCTTATGACCTGAAGTCACGTGACAATAAATTCGATAGCGCTTTTGTTTATAAACAGTCCCGTCTGACCGACAGAGTGGTGTCGGTGGGGCATCATTTTTCAGCGGACAAAGAGGCTGATCATACTGCAAAATATTTACAGCCACTCTGATTTGCCTCGTGTATTCAATTGCTTTCAAAGGAAGACAAATGACATTGAAATCTTGGAATTTCTTTCTTATAAAATAATATAAGCTGAAAGTTGAATGGATGCTTGTCTTATCGGTTCAGTTTCCTCGGGTAATGAAAAATATAATAATTTATTTCTTTGATTTATGAAAATAACCCATGTATAATATGACACTATGATCCAAACACCCGCACTGTCAACTTGAAAGAATAGAAAATTATTATAATGCATTGCTGCACAATCCGCATTTCAGTGATTTTTGACCAAGTGCTATTCAACGAATAATGGCCTATGAGGTCCACCAGATATCGACGAGTCAACCAGAGTTCATGCAGTTAGTGCATATATGGAGAAGACGTAGGTAGGTTGGAAACAATAACTAAAACGTACTCACCGGTGTTGCGTATAAGTATTATTGTCACTTTGCACAGTCCAGTTCCAGTCCGATATGTACCAGCTGGCACTCTATTAAACCCCGCATAAACATCGTAATCAACTCGGCCGTACAGAGGTTGTTGTCCTTTCAAGGTGTATAAAAATTTACTGACAAGGAAATCTTTCTCGGTACTTTGGTTGTTCCATTCGATTCTTTCGTTGCTAACTTCCAGAATAAGTCGAGTTCCTTCATCCACCACGTCATCTACAATTTTCATTAGTAGACCGCCATTGATGGTAGCTCCCATATAGCCCGGTAGATTATTGCTATACACACGAAGTTGTCTGTTAAATATCTGCGTTTCCGCCATGTTTCCGGTGAATTTATCGTCGCCTCCGAATCCGTCGCCACTTGGAGAGTCGGATATATCGACGGTCCATAGTCTGGGTGGCTCAGCATAGTCCAGCACGAACCTTGCCGCTTTGTAGGGACCGGAGAAATCTATCTTAACAACAGCTTGGCTGTCACATTTTGCATTGTTGTCAGGATGCGGAGGTACAATAATTGATACAAACGCATTGCTTCCGTATACCACTCCGGCTTGTAGATCTATTTCAAGCGTATCACCAAAACGACTGACGCTGTGGCTGCTTCTGAAAAAAACTTTTAAAATAATGCATAAAATAGTATAGAAATACGAATATGAATAAACAAGGGCATCTACTATACAAAACCACGTTCAACTTAGTACTTGTTTTCTTTGCAAGTTGGCTATGTTGTTACTATAGGTACGAAACACGAGATGAAAGACTTATCAAGGGTAATACACTTGTATTAAACCAGACTCCCCAATCCCCGGGATTGTACCATTGTTGGCAATCGGCATTGTTCTTGTTGTTTCAACGACGAATCTGTCGATTGTTTCCCATTGTCTTTTTAATCCAGAAACAAAATAAAAGTAAAAATAAAGTAACTAATAACCTCGCGCTTCAACGATACCATTAATTGAAATAAAAGTAACGAACATTTGAAAAGGAACATATAAGTAGTTTTCAGGCTACACCAAGTACGGACTAAGATTTAAGATAATTTTGTATGTTTGCATATTGACTAGACCCAATTGCGGTCACTCACGGGAAGATACAACGGTTACCATGGGCTAATAAAAAAACGCTAACGAATATATAAATCTACAGTCCGTTTAACCGTGATTACCCAGTACAGTCCCCAAGATGGAATAGAGGTTAGTTCTATGCAAACAATACCAACACAAATTCAACAAGTGCAGATTACAAAATAACGGAAAGTAGTACAGAGTATCATCGTCAGTTCATTGGCAGCACA